AGTAGGGGGAGCATAAATAATAAATCTAAATCTGAAATATCATGCACCTGCCGTTTCTTTCCCGAGACTTTGTGTGTGCAGAGGTGCATGTATGGGTGTGTGGGTGGGTGTGTGTGTGGGTGTGTGTGTGGGTGTGTGTGGGGGTGTGATATCTCACTATGTAGCCCAGGCTGGCCTCAAACTCACAATCTTCCTGCCTCAGTCTGCTGAGTGCTGGGATTGCAGGCATGTACCACCACACCCTTTACACCTTGGAAGTCTAGGTCAGAGGGGCCTGGAAAGCTTGAGTCAGAGAGTTTATAGTAGGTCTAGGTGGTTTCCTCCTGCACACCCACTCTTTTTGGTACCTCCTCCTCCTTCTTTTCAAAGGCCTTCACCTTTGTGAAGAGGTATGAGCGCTGGAAGGGGTGGAAGCTAGTTCCATCTGTCAAAGCCCTCTCCCACTCCTGGCTGGCCCTTGGTGGTCTGGGGTTAAGGTGGGGTAAGGGAAGAGCACCCTAGCTCCAGGGTTGGAGAGGTCCAGAGCTTCAGTGAACAGAATCTTCTTCCACACACTGCCCTCACACGTTGTCTCTACCCTTCAGAGAAGAGGCTTTGAAGCTCAGTCTAAGGCATCAGAATGGCCCTATACTGAGTCCTGAGTAGATGAGCCCCCAGCTCTGTTTGGAAGAGACACCTTCCTGAGCTCAATATTCTCATTCAGAAGTGGGAATGATACCTAACTCAAAGAGCTAACTGTGAAGAGCAAGGTGTGGTGGCGCACACCTGTCATCCTAGGGAGACTGAGGCAGAAGCATCTGTAGCCTTGGCTACAGAGTGAGTTCAAGTCCAGCCTGAGCTACAGAGTGAGACCTTGTTCCAAAAAAGAGGAGGGGGTTATTCTGAAGAGTTACTAAGATAACCTAGGAAGTGTGAAGGTGAATACGTGCTCAGTACCTGGCAACTGCTGGCAATCCCAGGCTATGCTGGACAGGTGGTATGTAGCTCCCCGTAGCCTTCCTGGCTGTGAGTTCCTGTGGGATTGAGCGTTCCAGGCTGAGTGATACAGTTCACACTTAGTATACACACAGGGCCTGAATTCAGTCCCCTGCACCATGAAAACACCTCAGCATCTCACTCATAAGCTCAGGGACCATGGTAAACTGCTTAACATTTCTGAGCCTCAACCTTCTTTTTAGTAAAGTGGAAATCTACTTCAGATTTTTTATGTGAGGAAAATTAACATGCTTATTTTTTAGAAGGCCATTATGTAAAACTGTTATTTTTACTCTTATGGGGTTTTTTTTTTTTGCTTTTTTTTCATATAACAAATATAATTTAATTTATGTAATTTCAGTCATTTCTCAAAAACATGCCTTTTAAAAAGTTTTAAATTTATTGGATGCTTACTATATTTTAGGCATTGTTCTGAATGCACGCGCGTGTGCGCACGCGTGTGTGTGTGTGTGTGTGTGTGTGTGTGTGTGAAAAGTGCTGTAATCTCAGCACTCAGGAGGCTGAGGCGGGAGGATCACCTTGAGTTCAAGGCCAGACTGCACTACATAGTGAGTTCAAGAGGCAGCTTGAACTACATATCAAGACCCTGTCTCAAAAACAAAACAAAACAAAACAAAAAAATCAATACAATCTACAAAGTGGGGAGTTTTATTATTTTTAAAATTTTTGCAGGGGATGGGGATCAAACTCAGACCTTGCAAGTGATACTCATGGGTCCTTTTATTATTCACTTCCCTTTTGCCCATAAGAAAATTCAAGCTGGGTGTGACGGTGTATGCCTTTAATCCTCACAACAATCCTCTGTGAACTGTAGAATTACCACTCTCCCCCAATATAGATGAGAAAACTAAGGCTTCAGAAGATAGAACAATCTGTCTAATATCTGATAAATGAATCTATACATGTGACAAAATTTTACCTAACTACACACATGGGCTGGCCTGTGACTCAGTGTGGTTGAGCACTTGCCTAGCATGTACAAGACCTCAAGTCCCAGCCTCAGCACCACAAAAAAGTAAATAAAACCACACACACATACACACACACACACACACACACACACACACACAGAACTCAGAAGGCTTAAGCAGGCTGGCCCAAAAATTTATATGCCTGGGCTACATAGCAAAACCTTGTCTCTAAATAATTAAATACAAAGAAACAAACAAAGAACAAAACTCAGGTTGGGCAAACACAGATCTCTTCTCTGCTTGTTAGGAAGTGACCACACTAGGAGTCACACCCACCTGTCCTGTTGGTAAGGCCACTCCCTCCCAGCTCTGTGCCCTGCATGAAGGTAGGCTTTGAACCCTGGATATCATCTACTCAGCTGCCTCTGTGTATGTGTAGGAAAACTGAAGCTCAGAGAAAAGGCCTTCACTCAAAGACACTCAACAAGTCTGTGACTGAGCCAGGATGGGAACCCGATCTTTGAATTCCAGTGCCCATACCCAGGCCTCTCATCCACTTAGCAGGCTCTGTCGGGGAGACCACTGGTCCCATAGGCAGACCTGAGTTCCGACTCATATGCCTCATCAGCCTGCCCAGCTAAAGTACCCAGGCCCAGAGGTGGAAGGAGTGGAGCCACTATAGTCCTGCTACAGTTATCGTAAGAACCAGGATAGTTGGGGCAATGGAGATAGCAAGGAAAGACCTCCTGAAATTTGGGAAGAGTTGGGGTGGACAGGAAGCCTCTGTGTGTGTGGGGGGGGGTGCTCATGTCGAGTCCTTGCTCCCATCTCTCTTGAGTCACCTGCTCCAAAGGTTGGGACACATTCTTGAAGAGAATGGTCACAAGAGTTCCCTGGCCTTTTCAGGCCCTAGGCTAGTTTCTGTTCCTCCTGGGCTGAAACCAACTCCCTCCTCACAGCCAGTATCCCTCCTTAATTGATAATATGGCCCCTTTCTCCTCTAATTGTTGCCCAAGACTCCAGGCCTGAGGTTAGAGGAGTCCCACCCGGGACTCATTTTCTCAGGGTATAGGTCCCTGGTATCTAATGGGGGACTTGACTGACGTTCAGATGAACCGATTGTCCCTGCTTTCCCGTTGCTCTCGCCTCCTCCACCCCTCCAGGCCAATCCTCGATGGGTCAGGCAAGGCGAAAGATCAAAGACCCCTTCGCTTCATCTCACCCTCACAACCGAGGAGGAACAAACGCAATCACTCGGACTGAGGGAGCGGCTTTAGCAATCCGGGAGGGGGGAGCAGCGCCCTCGTGTGGCCCTCAGGAGAAGCGACTCTTTACTCAACCCCTTCCTTTCTATGCGCTCATTGAACAAATATTTATTGAAAGCCACTAACCGGTATGTGCCAGGCTGCTCTAGGAGCAGCGGCCCCAACAGATAAGATACTTGCTCTGTGGACTGTGTATCTCAATTGTGTGTATGTTGAGAGATAAGCAATAAATGATACACAAATAAATAAGTTACTTGTAGTTATAACTACTAGGAAGAAAATCAGTAAAACAAATGTGATATTAATTAACCCCCAGGAGAAACTTAGGACAGGATGGAAAAGGAAGGACTCCTTTGTAGGTCATATCTGAAATAAGACCTAGGTGACAAGGATCTAGGATGTGTGAAGAAAAGATTTTCTTGTTAGAGAATAGCTATTGTAAGGCCCTCTCAGGCAGGGGAAGACTTTGGACAACAGACAGGAGACTGGTATAGCTAGAAAATGGGGTGGTATGTAGTCAGCAAGGTGAGCTGAAGTCAGACCATGGATCTAATAAGCCATGACAATGTTTGATTATTATTCTGGGAGTAGAGGGCATGCATTTGGTGGGTTGTTTTGGAGACAGGGTCATGCTATTATGTAGTTCAGGCTGGCCTTGAACTCACTCTGTAGTCAAAGCTGACCTTTAGCTCACAGCAATCCTCCTGCCTCAGCCTCCCGAGTACTGGGATTACAAAGTACACCACCACCCCAGCCACTGGCTGAGTTATGAGCAGCAGAGTAATACAATTTGATTGTCTTTTAAAACTCCTATGGCTGCTATGTGGACTTTTGGCAACAGACAAAGAACAGAAGCAGAGAAATTATTGCAAGAGGCTAGAAAGTATTGAAATAATTCAGGTGAGAAATGATGGTAGCTAGAATCAGGGTAGTAGTGTTGGAGGTGGGGAGATGTGGTGGGTTCTGGTAGAGTAAGGAGGATTTGACAAGGGACCATATTCTTTTGTTCATTTGGCTCCAGGAACTCCTTCATATGCACATCCTGTTTGTCTTCTTCATCCTTAGTTGGGAGCTGAATTAAAGGGGCAGAGCCAAGGGGCACAGATAAATTGAGTGTTTTCCAGATGTTACTGGACAAAAAAAAAATTAAGACATGGGCATTGTGGCCGAGTGTGATAGCACATGCCTTTAATAATTCCAGTACTTGGGAAGCTGAGGCAGGAGGATTGCTGTGAGCTTGAGGTCAACCTGGCTACATAGGGAGTTCAAGCCCAGCCTGAACTACTTAGTGAGATCCTGTCCAAAAAAAAAAAAGAAGAAGAAGAAAAGAAAAAAGACATGGGCATTATATTTTCCATGTCCTTTCTCTACTTTGCATTATTAGCCCATTTACTGAGCAGGGTCTCTATCTGCTGTCTCCCTTATCCTGCCTGGTTTCCATAGGCCTTGTTATTTAGGTCTCTGTTTGTCCAAATGTGTGTGTCTGTGGCCCCCAGTGTATGTTGTTGACACCTAAAACAGTTGGGATATTTAGTATTTGTATTTGATACAGGCTAGGGCATAGCGTAATCTGGGGTTATCAGTACTCAAACTAGGCTGACCATCTACTCCTGTTTACACAAAACATGGTGGTTCAGACCTGATCCCACAGGAAATGCACATACACACTTTGGCATTTCTGGAAAGCCTGAGAAATGCCAAGCTGGCCTGACAAACACTCCTAGGCCAACTGGGGTGAGAAAGCAAGTAGGGGAGGAGGTGAGCCAGTATGCTCTGGAGCCAGCAAGCCTGGCTCTGTTTGTGTTGTGCTGGGCTGAGGGTGCGTTATAAGTGCAGCCAGCCGGAAGGCCCCAGGGAGTGCACTGCTCCTGAAATCCTTTGTGAGCCTCACCAAGATGAAGTTGCCAGGCCAGGAGGAGTATGAGGTCTCCTGTGCTCATGAAAATGTTTCTGCAGGGGAGCTGGACAGTGACCATAGCCTTGGTCACAGCCCTGGTGGCTCTTCAGAAACAGACAGCAGAGAACTGGGGGTATCCAAGGACCCAGCGCTCTTCATTCAGCTGAATGAACTGCTGGGCTGGCCCCAGGCACTGGAGTGGAGAGAGACAGGCAGGTGAGTGGGACCCAGGATAGTTCTATGGGGTCCTTGCCCTCCCTCAACCAGGACCTACCTTCTCCATGATCCTCAGCCCTTTTATGGGGCTCCTTCCCACTCCAAATCAGGATTTTTCCTCTCTGTCTTCTACATTCCATGACACTCAGCCTCTTCTGTAGTCTAGTTTTGAGATTCCCAAGACCCAAAATGAAGGGTGACTGCCCAGGAAAAGCATACTTTGTACCCAGAGTACCCCTACAGTGTGCCCAGGACTCCCCTATTGCTCTGCTTTTCTTGGCTCTCATTTACCTGCTCCTGGATGTGGAAGAGGTTTTCCCCAATGACACTGTTTATCTCCCTCTACCACAGGTGGGTGCTGTTTGAGGAAAAGCTGGAGGTGGGTGCAAGACGGTGGAGTGCCCCCCATGTTCCCACTCTGGCACTGCCCAGCCTCCAGAAGCTCCGCAGCCTGCTGGCCAAGGGCCTCATACTGCTGGACTGTCCAGCTCAGAATCTTCTGGAGCTTGTGGGTAGGATGGCAGCCTTTGCAGGGGGGACCTGGATAAACATGCCATTTCCCTAATTTCCCCCAAAGTCTTGGAATCTTCCCGAGTTTATCCCATGCTACCCCACCCTAGGGACTGCCCGTCTTTGTAACAGGGTAGAAATGGAAAAGCAGAGCGGAGAGGAATTTTCAGTCTTTGCATTCCTTGAGATTCCTAGAAGGAGAGGGGGCCTGGGTAAGGGGGTAGGAAATAAGTAGTGGGGTCAGGTAACTTTCAAGAAAGAGTTTCAGCACCACCTTTATTCTCTAGAGCAGGTGATCAGGATGGAGTCACTGAGCCTGGAGTTGAGAGGGCAGCTGCAGGCTTTGCTGCTGCAAAGACCCCAGCATTACATCCAGACCACAGGCAACTGTTTCTGCTGCGGTGAGAGACCCCTCCTTGGGTCCAGGATCAGTGTCCCTGAGTGGGAGGATCTCAGATGTCACCTGCACCTTCCTGAGCCAGTAGTGACCCAGGGTTGCCTCAGACTTCAACCTAGGACTTGGGGGCAAGAGAAAGCTTGTTGTAATGGTGGTGGGGAAGGAATGGAAGGAGGATCAATTTTATACTTAAAAAAAAACTTATACTTTTTTGCAGTCCGTGGTAGTGCACGCCTGTAATCCCAGAGCTTGGGAAGCTGAGGCTGGATTGATTACTGTGAGTTAGAGGCAGCTTGGGCTACATCGTGAGCTCAAGGCCAGCCTGAACTATAATGAGACCCTGTCTCAAAAATAAAATAAATAGATAGATAAATAAATAAAATCTTTTAAATTATCCTGTGAAGGGGTGTACTTGGTAGGTGCTGTGCCAAGAGTTTACACACAGTATCTCATTTAATTTTCACAATTATCCTGTAAGGTAGCACCACAATTCTCCTGACATTAGTGATAAAAACAGGCTCAGGGTGCGCTCCTGTTCTCACAGCTTGTCAGTGCAAAAGCTGGCTGGGGAGCTCTAATGGACCTACCCCCAAAGCCTGTGCTCTTAACCACCCCATAACCCTGTTTGTAGGATCTACCCCTTCAAGAAAGGCATCTTACAATGAGGGGGCCCCTCTGAAGGAACAGGTTTGCGGTCTTTCCTTGGGTGAGGTGGGGAGAGGAGTTATCATCACTGGAGATCCTGCCATCATGCCCCCCACAAATAACCTCTTCTATTCTGTGCCTCCTGCATCAGAACCCTCTGAGACAGAAGCTGCCTCCAGGGGCTGAGGCAGCAGTTGTGCTGACAGGAGAGCTGGGTTTCCTGGCACAGCCACTGGGGGCCTTTGTGCGACTGCAGGATCCTGTGGTGTTGGGGACACTTACTGAGGTGCCCCTCCCCAGCAGGTGAGGCCATTGCGTGAGAGTGAGCAGTCAATCTTACAGCCCAGAAGAAAGGCCCTTACTGGGGACGAATCTGGTGGTGCATTCTCCAGATATAATTATCTGTGTGTGTGTGTGTGTGTGTGTGTGTGTGTGTAGTAATGCACAGGGTCAGGACTGCAGAGCAGGTGTGCACAAGAGTGTTGTGCAGGGCTTACAGGGAGGTCAGAGCTGAGTGCCAGTAGGCAGGACTGCCTATGAGAAAGCAGCCTTTCTGAGGCCCCATTCCTTCTTCAGGTTTTTCTGCCTGCTCCTGGGCCCCACCATGCCAGGAAGGGGCTATCATGAGATGGGTCGGGCAGCAGCTGTTCTCCTCAGTGACCCGGTGAGCTGGGCAGATGTGCATGTGTGTGTTTGTGTGTGTGTGTGTGTGTGTGTGTGCATATAGGTTCATGTGACTGAGCATGTGTATAAGCTCTGCCTGTGTGACTAAGTACAATGAGGCAGTGTGTGGCTTTGTGCCTGTAGCATGGGGACTAAAGTTTCCATGACTACCAGCATAGCCCTATTACATAGCCCTATTACTGGTAGCCACTGAACGGATGAATACATGCATAGATGAATGCATGAGTGGCCTGTCTACCTATGTAATGTGTGTGTCTTCTTTTGAGAAACACAGGAGTGAATATACATGTAAGATTCAAATCTGCATTTACTGCCCCTTCTGTGCACAGCAATTCCAGTGGTCAGTTCGTCGGGCCAACAATCTTCATGACCTCCTGGCAGCCCTGGATGCCTTCCTAGAGGAGGTGACAGTGCTGCCCCCAGGTCAGTGGGACCCAACAGCCCGGATTCTCCCGCCCAAATGCCTGCCCTCTCAGCACAAAAGGTACCAGAAGGCCTTCACTCCCTGTAGATTCCTCCCCACATACGTTGAATCTAGAGACACTATTTCGTAAGGGCTGAGTTCTATCTTTGGATTTGGAATCAGACAGATTTAACCACTTCTGCTTTACCGCTCTCTCACGTATGAGGCCTGAAAAACCTTCCCAGGACCAGCTTGGCTTTCAGATGGTGCAACACGACCTGGACTTTTTTGCTCCCTCTCTGGAGTTCTTCCAACCCAGTCGCCACGGACGCAACAAGCCGCCAGGGGGCAGGGCACCACCAGCTCTCGACCAAGAGACTGGCCATTCTCTTTCTCCTCAGGTCACCCTCGCAAAAGCAGGAGGTCGAAGGCCTCTCCGCCCTGAGCACGGCCAGGGCAGAGGACAGACATGGCCGCGGGCTGCATGTATCTAGTCTGGAGTTGCAGCGGACTGGTCGGTGAGGCGAGCTGCGCGGGAGTAGGGGTTGGGGGACCTGCTGGGACGGGTGTGGATGTGCGTGCGTGCGTGTGTGTGCGTGTGTGTGGTGGGGCCCGAAGTGTGTGCTCACTGCGGCGGGGGCTCAGCCGGCCACAGGAAAGTAGTAGGGCGCGGCCATGGAGTGTGGGAACCTGAATTACTGACGACCCATGGGCGGGAGGCTGTTTGGGGGTCTTGTCCAGGACGTGAGCCGGAAAGCTTCCTGGTACCGCAGCGATTTCTTGGATGCCCTGCACCCCCAGTGTTTCTCAGCTGTGCTCTACATTTACCTGGCTACTGTCACTAACGCCATTACTTTCGGGGGTCTGCTGGGAGATGCCACTGATGGTGCCCAGGTGGGTGGGGTTGTGTGAGGGAGGCTGGCACAAGCTTTGGTGTCACACCTGCAGAGCCAGGACTGTAGGTGCACTGAGGAGGATCCTGGGAAGCTTGGGCTCCTAAATTGAGGATACCACGGCTCTGTTGGTTTCCAGGGAGTGCTGGAAAGCTTCCTGGGAACTGCGGTGGCTGGAGCTGCCTTCTGCCTGCTGGCAGGCCAGCCCCTCACCATCCTCAGCAGCACTGGGCCAGTGCTGGTCTTTGAACGCCTACTTTTCTCTTTCAGCAGGTAAGAAACCTCCCCCACCTTACCAGCCCCTCCCTAGTCACACCTCACCCTAGTCCTGGCTGGGTCAATAGGAGAGGGTGGGAACTGTCTCTGGCTTGGGGGTATCTAGATGGTGAGAAGACAGAACTGCCTGGCTCTCACCTTTACAGAGATCACAGCCTGGACTATCTGCCCTTCCGCCTGTGGGTGGGCATCTGGGTGACCACCTTCTGCCTGGTGCTGGTGGCCACAGAGGCCAGTGTGCTTGTACGCTACTTCACCCGATTCACAGAAGAAGGTTTCTGTGCTCTCATCAGCCTCATCTTCATCTATGATGCCCTGGGCAAAATGATGAATTTGACTCACGCCTATCCCATCCAAAGGCCTGTGTCCCCTGCCTATGGCTGCCTCTGTCAATACCCAGGCCCAGCAGGTGGGTGAGGGAAAGAGGAACCTTGGCTGGGTGAGGAAGGGCATGGGAGGGGTTTTCCTTGGTTATGTTTAATAAAATGCTGAATATTTATACAATAGCATACTTCCCAACTCTGGTTTTGAACTAACTGAAAAACAAGACAACAGAAAACCCAATATTGTCTTTATTTCTGACAATACTAATAGAAGAACATAGAATATAT